GCCGAAAGAAAAAAAAATGAGAAAAAGAAAAGACGAAATCGAATCACCTCAAGAACAAGGGGCAGCTACATCTAGTTCGCATTAATGTCGATTATTTCCTCAGCCACTTCCATATACACCTCTCACAACTTCAGCACATCTACTCCGTCGCGAAAACATGCGTGTACTGTACATTTTTGTCTCTCATCTCAACACGGCTCGCACAGGGGACTACGGTCCCAACTTTTTTTTTTTTTTTTTTTTTTTTATTTCCCGCAAACGGACAAAAGGCAAGACAGGACTATATTCGCCTACGTGGATATCGATATAGACTCTGCATTTGAGTGGCAAAGGCGTATGTATATAGATGGAAAGCTCATAAATAACTGTGCTGTACTGTACATACATACATACATTGAATACACTTTTCCTCCCTCGCGCAGCAAAAGCTAGGATTCGGGAAGGATATACACCAGTGAAGAAAAATCGAACGCCAACACTCAAAATGAATCCCAATTCTGCTGAACAGTTCAGCTCTTCCTTTGGCAGAGTGCCAGTGTTGGTTGGGTTGTTGAAATGTTGAAGAGAGCATATAGGTGTGATTCCCCTCCGGTCAGTGTGCCATGTCCCCTGGTTGAAAAAGAAAAGCATTGCATCAACACCTGGATGTCCAGACTGTCCAGAAATGAAACAATGAAATCCACTACATCGGCCAAACTGGACAACGGGATTAGCTTGCCTTCATCCTATTCCATCCACGAGCCTCAAGGAAAGAAAACGAATACGAAGGAGAAAACTTACAAAAAGTCGTCCGCTCCTTGTTCCTCCGTGACACAACAACGTCATCGCCCACTTCTATATGCAAACCATCAGCTCCCTTATCTATAAACCCGTACCTCCCAAAGACGGGACTATATTTATTCCCCTTATCAACTCGACGATCTTTCATCAATTTCTTAAGCATGGTTCCCGCCTCGCCGCTGCCCGGTGCGCCAGTGTCATAGTCGACGTTGATACTAACACACCTCCCACAGTTCGCTGTTAGGATGAGATTGACATCAGTCTGGACTGTGATCTCTCCCCAGAAGTCCTCCTCGTACGCCTCCTCGGCGCCGGATATGACGATATTTGGGAATTTGGTCACGTCCATCTTATCACCCTTCGGGCAGCCGGTCGCATACTTCCTCCAGAGACGTTTCCGAAACGACGAGGTACGGCGCCATATCTGCGAAAGTGATCCACTCGTCGGTTTCGTCACCCTCCCTTTTTGCAGAGGGAGTGGTGCTTCCGAGATACAACAGAGACTTGGCGATATTCGATATCCAGCCACCGCCTGCATTCTTCAAGGCAGGCTGAGATGCACCTGCTACTGCTCTCTTCGCCGCAGCGTTGGGGGGCACATTACCTAGCACAGGCCTCCGATTCCCGCCCAGATACACCAACAAAACCTCGAACCCAAACCACTCAGAGAACCAGTCCGAATATTTCTTGTCCATCTCGTAAGCTTGAGTCCTGCTGTTGTACATATCGACCTCCAGGACCCTTAGGCCCTGGAGGTCTGTCGGCTCCCGGGGGATCTCCAACTCCTTAATAGCATCCCGGTCAGGATGCCCCATGGGCGCTTGATATCTGACCAAGATCCTGCCTTCCTCCGTGACGACTCCATCCACAGACTCGCTGGGGAATACCACATCTGTGGAGAAACAGGGCCATTTGCTGGGATGTGGCAGACCTGCATGTTTTTTCAGGCTTTTTGTCATGCTGGGACTTTGAGCAGCATG